GCCGGTAACAAAATTCAAAATAGTCAGAGATTGAGAGAGAGCGTTACGCTCAACAATAGACATGCGGAAATGAGAGGGCCGATGAATTGGCTAAGGCCAGAGCATCTCTTATGAATCCGAAGCGAAGATAATAAACTGTCCACTCGGACTCATCAAGGGGGAACTGCATATGTAATTTCCACGTATGGCAGAAACACGTTGGAAGAACCTTCAGACGTGCAAAACTGCGAATAATATATGGCCGCTTTATGACAAACCAAAGGCAGAGAAACTTGTAAAAAGGTCTAGGAAAGATAACGGGATTTTGGCATACTACTGAACAATGAGTCTTCTGTACAACCCACAGTGCCGTAGTTGCAAACTAGAGAAAAGTAAAAAAACGTTCCAACATAATCTTTTCGAGTTCCCAGTATTGGCACCATCCATCCAAAATCTTCTGGAAATCTCCAAATGATCCATTACTAACATAAATCGATTCATCGACAAAAACTAGTGACGAAAGTGACGAATCATAAAAGCAGATAATATCAGGGATCATCCTAGAGGAATCGATCAAAATGGTACTCTCAGCGCTAATTGGATCCTGAGCAAGGGCTCAGGCGAGGCTTCTACCAACCAACCATCTTCCATGTAACAAAATGGACAAACTGGCCTGAACGCTTGATTAAGTTTTTTTGTTTGTGATTTTCTTCTGGATGCATTTCTGCATCAAAAATAAAATGTTTACAATAAATGTCGCCTAATTTTTTTTTTGACTGTTCGGGATCGATATGTACACTGCCGGAGAAAAGTATTGGCACAGCGAATTTTTCACAATATATGCAACAATTTTTATTCTAAAAATATGGTTTATTCTATACAAAAAACATTTAAATATAATTTGAGCAAAATTTTCAACTTTTTAATCAGATTTTGTGGAACTTTCTGGAGTATGCAGTTTTGTAGCCCATTAAATTCTAATACAAAAAATGCAAGTAAATAAATACATATTTTTTTTTTTTTATTGGAAGCGAGAGCAAATCAATAAAGTGCCGGAGCGGAGCGAAAAAAAAATGTTTGCTTCGAAGCCCTGCATAAAGGAACAGGATTATGGAAACCTCCTCTGAATTCTTTAAGAGCAGCCATCTTACAGGGCAATTCTAGGTAAGACAGTAAATAGTTTTTCGTAAGACAAATAGGAGACAGATGGCAAGATATGTATTTCGAAATATTTGTTATTCTAGCACAACAGGCTTAGAAAAAAAGCTTTCCCATTCACCACTCCTGGTGAAAAGCTATTTTGAGAGAAATCACTTGTATGTCATTTAGCTCGCGTCGCTCCAACAGTCGTAATGGCCGAGTGAGTAGAGCATATGCGTGCCGTTCGAAAGATCACGAGTTCGTTGCTCGGGCGGCTTAACTTCTTGTTGATTTTTTATAAAAAATATTTTTATTTTAACTTATTAAGAAGAAAAAAAATTTATATGAATTGCATTTAATTTTTTAACACATTTATTTATTTTTACTTCATTTGAATTTTTAATTTGTTTTCTGTTTAAATTTTTTATATGTATCAATTTTGATTTGTTTTTTATGAGAAATATATATGTTTCTTAAATTTAATTTAATTTAAAAAACTTAAAAGGCGAACAGCATAACGCCAAGGACTACTCGTAAGCTGATCTTTCAAATAGTCTTTCGAAAGACAGTAGATAGCTTTTAAGATAGTTGCCAAGGTGGTGAGGTGAAAGACAGTTGCCAGAATTGCCCTGTTAGTTTTTTAGAATCTGAGTTCAGAGAGCACAAATGTAATACATCAGTATGTAACATTAATCCAGTAATAAAATTTTAATAATAAAATTTTCATTACTCTCAACTGAATAGCCCACTGTTATATGCATGACTCGCCGCCGCACGCCAACAACCCATCGACATCGAGACACACACACACACACCGCCACTGAAAGCAGCCAAACCAACCGACAAACGGAAGAGGTGATGGCGATCATCATAATGATTGTGGACACAATCGTTAAGTCCAGCAGCAGGAGTCGATGCAGACGATGCTATTGCTGCTGCTCTTCTACTTCGCTGCTGCTAACACTGTGGCAAACATACCAAGCCTAAAGCCACTAAAAGGCGCAATTTCACAAGCGCCTTGAGCAACAACTATGAGATGCAGAGCAGCAGACAACAAGAAAACAAAAAATACCTACAACGAAAAACAAGCAGAAAGCCTCTTCATTGAGCGGCACAAGACGATCAGGCGAGAATGGCCATGAGGTCGCAGCGTGGAAATGCGATTGTGATGCTGATGATGATGGCGATGACGGTGGCGGTGGCGGTGGCGGTGGCGATGATCACAATATGGTCACACGGTCACAACCAAAGCCAATATATGGATGTTGATTGCTATGTGTAGTTTTTGTATTTTTGTTGTTGTTGTTGCTTTATCATCGTTTTTTTTTTTTGTTGCTATTGGCTGTTGAATATGCAATATGTACTACCTGTAATATGGGAGGTTGTTATACCACTTTGGCACACGCGCACTGTGCCACTGGGACTAGCAGGCTAGGCTGCCTAGTCGTCGACTAAGGTGGATACTTTTAAGTGCATTTATAGCTGCCAATTGGCGCTGGTAGTGACGTGCTCATGCATGATGTGATGTACATACATACATATGTATGTATGCGCCTCTTCAAGTTAGTGCCGCTGCATAGACTGTTGGTTAAATGCTGATGACGGGCGCATGGTCAGAACGGGTTTGAAGCAGTCATGCCGCTACTGCCTTAGTTGCTGACTACTCCGCGCTGTCGAGGTGCTGAAACTGTTTTGTTATGATTGCTATTGCTGTTGGTTTGTTTAATCATTGCTGTTGTCGTTGTTGTTGCTGTTGTACTACTTCATTTATGGCTACAATTACTGTGGTCTGTCTTTGCTGAGCTAACTTTTGTTTTTGTTTTCTTTTTCTCCTTTTGTTTATTGATTTTTTGCCCTGCACCTTCCACATCCATACATACACATCCATATCTGCGCTCCTGCACACTCGCGAATCGTGCACTTCGGCCTCCAAGCCACCATGCCAGCATGCCACAACAGCCACCTACATACATATGTACATATATAGATGGATGGCCTGCAACAATCATCCTAGGATGTGTTTTAGCACAGGCTGTAGCAATTAGGGAATTTAGCATCATCGGCGGCGGTGGCGTCATTGGTGGTGGTGGTGTTGGTGGTTAGTGGTGCTAGCCGCTAGTGCCGATACCAATGCTGCTGCTTTTGCCTGCAAATATCAGCGACCGTGCGCGCCGATCGGCGCTATTTCATGCCGTGCTGAAATGATTGTTATGCGCCAAAAA